TTGACTAGAACCCTATGCAAAGAAAAGATATAGATGAAAGGCATTTCAACAAATGTTTACATGTTTATTTCAATGTTGCAACATTTATGTCTACCGGAAATGAAACGAACATCATATGTATGCACACACATTACATAGTAATAATACAGTTCATTTTAAAATAACAATACTTAAATAGACTGGTCCCCTCAAAAAAGAAAGAAAGCTACATGTCAAAAAGTCAGGGATCAGTTTGACATTGTATTTATAAAGAGGACCTCACATCTAAAATAATTGAAAATTAATGTTTTTATTTTTTTGATTCTGACAAATGAGTAGAGGAAGTTCTGAAATGCCAAGCAATAAAAATTAGTTGTGAAAATATTTTTATCTATAAGAAATTACTAATTAATATTCATGTCAAAAAGTAAAGGATTGTTGTTTAACATTTACTGTAGTGTACATATTTTTTGTTTCAATAGTTATTTTGATTTTATGTTGAAAAAGCTTTATATTTTTATACAGTAATACAACAATCTCATTCTTTCCACAATGTATTCTTAAGCTAATAATGTTGTAAGCTTTGATTTCTTTTTTGAAAATGTTTCACTACAAAGTATCATTGATAATAATTCTAGTCATCATAACTTATGTTATTTGATTTTAAAGATTGTTGTTTATTTTATCAATTTTTTAAAGATTTTACACATTAATATTACTTTTTACAAAAAAAAAAACAAATTCTAAAAAATTGCCATGGTGCCCTCATTTTTAAGGGGTCCACCATGGTAATTTCTGCCTGCCCCTATCTTAGGCTAAACTCATCCCTGTAATCAGTAGGATCAACTCCAGTAACCAACAAAAAACTAGGTACCGACAATGAGCAGGCTAAGACATCAGCCAGCCAAATACTAATGATGATCCAAATCCCACCAAGACCATACTTTAGCTTCAGATTTATTCAAGCTAAATGTATGAACATTTATTGTAGCCATTGATTATTTTTCCAAATATGTAGAGTTTTCTTGGCTGAGTTCACCTACCACCAGAGCACTAATCTGTGTTAAAAAAATGATTTCTGTAATATTTTGAACTAAAAGTAATAATTGTTTCAAATCAGATTAATTAAAGTCTGTCAGCTAATTTTCTTCAAATAAAGTTCCAGAAAAGTATTTATTTTTAAACAATTTTTTATAAAGAGAATTACACTGTGCTGATAGATAGCTAAAATCAGAAATTTAAAAAAAAAATCCTTTCAGTCGCTTTTAATTAGTTTTGAAATTCAGCCAAGTATTTTGTTTATTGGAAATATTAAATTTAATCTATTAGGTTGAAATTAAAACTAAAATAAAAACTTCAAGAAAGATTTTCCATTTTTAAAAATTAATCTTAAACTTTAGGTTTCATGTTTCTTTGGAGGTATAAAAATAAAAGTAAATAAAAACTTGTAATTAAATACATTGCTCTACAGCTATACATGTACAAAATATACAAAGTGAAAAATAAGCATTTGGAGACAGTCTGTCTGAGAAAAGTCATGTAAAGAAGAAGCCAAGATTTATTATATATAAAATACAATTGTGGCACAAGGCCGAAAATGGGGGTGTGGTGGAAAGAGCTGAAGCTGGTTAACACTATCTTATGTCTAGCTAATCAGATTCACAACCCATTCACTCATTACACATTGACCAAAAGAACTTATCCATCATCATTCAATCCTCCATACTCTCAGGGGACCTACAAAAACACCCCATGACATAAAAATTAATGATTATAAAATTCTATATATAAAATCTCTCAATGCTATGTATTGAGTGGAATGAACCCCCAAAACAAATTAAAATATCAAAACAAATACACAAAATAAAAGGATAACTGATGTTAGTTGGACCTGTCAAACCCTCAAAAGAATTAAGAGAAGCTGCTGTATTCCGTCTTTAGACAAAATCAAGAAGCTCTCTTGATAAGGAAGAGGGAAGGATAAAATAAATACAGCCATGGGGAAAGAAAAAAGCTAACCCAGTCAAGATGAAAAAAAAGGGGGTCAAAAACAAACTAGGGAGGTTGGGAATTTTAACTTTGATCATAACCAAAGCAGCAGCCGGGAACATGCCAGGAATGACAATTACTCACATTAACTAGGTACATAAAAAGGGTCTAGCCCAACCAGGAAAGGACTCCACAGGAAAACATCTCAATGTGACTTAAGGAGACCTACAAAAGAAAACCTAGGCTAGTCCCATTCACTAAAATCTGTTGAAACCAATCGCAAGACATCCTCCATTTGTGTCATCCAAATCATCATTCAGACCATCCATTTCACTCCAGAACACGGGGATGACACATTGTCACACGAGCATTTCAGGAGTGACATGAGCCGTCAACTCACCAACAAAGTCCCATAGGGAGTGGACATAAGGACAATGGTAGAAGGCGTGCAAAGCCATTTCTTCCAAGCCAAGGTCACATCATTGACATGTAAGAAGAAGCCTAGTTTGAAATGAGTTCTTGGACTAATTACTTTATTTTTGCATTTGCTTACAAATTCTAGGCATTGTGAATTTATGATGTCATTTATGCTTTGTTAACATGGCTTTTTTAAAAAATTTTATGTATTTTTGTATAAAATAAAATATATATATATATTTTTTACATATTATTATTGTGATTTGGAATGGACTATTTCTCAATGACGTAGCCTTAAGAGGGGGCTGGGCAGATTTACCCAACTGTCAGTGGTGTAACCCTGTCACACGCCTTCTACCATTGTCCTCAGGTGTGCCCATTCTGAGACTATGTAGGTGAGTTGGCACATGTTGATCCCAAACATTATGTCCATCAATCTCACATATGCATGTTATAATGTGTCGCCTCTGTTCTCTGGGGTGAAACGAATGGTGATATGGACATTGCAAATGGAGGGAATCTTGTGATATGAACGATATTCTCATAAGGTTTTGGCTGAATTCTTTCAGCATCAGCTCAAGATGAAGATCAGAACTGATAGAAAGTGTTTGTTATTGACAGATTTCAACGAAAAGTGGGTAAAAGTTTGCTGCAAGTGAATGGGGCCAGTCTTGATTTTCTTTTTAAGTCCCCTTTGATGCAACAGGTCAGTTTCCTGTAAACCCTCCCCTGGTTAAGTTAGACACTCATTAATGTGAGTAAATGTTGTTCCTGGCCTGTTCCTGACTCTTGCTTTTGTTTAGATCCATGTTGAGATTTCCAATCTCCCCATTTTGTTTTTTGCCCCCTTTTTTCATCTCAACTATGTCAGCATTTTTTTTTTTTACTTTTTTTTATCCTTCCCTCTCTGTTAGTGCATGTGCTTCTTTATTCTGTCTAAAGGTAGAATACAGTGGCTACTCATTATTTTTGTGGGAAGGTTGGGTCCTACTAATATCTTATGTTTAGTTTGAACATTTTGCTATACTTTAGTTTAATTTTCTGGGTTCATCCTCTCATTTCATGAACATATATATATATATATATAAAAATTGGAAAAAAGTGACATTTGAACTATTTGTACATATTGAAATTCTATGTCATGGGTTTTTTTTAGGTTCCCTGTGAATTTGTGGTATTGTGTAGTTTTAAATGGTAAATGAACAAATTGTAATGAATAAATCGGTTGTGAATCAGATTAACTAGGTCTAGGATAGAAAGTGTTGACCAGCCTTTCCTTATTTGGCCTTGTGCCACAATTGTTTTAATTAAAACAATAAATATTAAAAATCTTTTTATAATCATGGGTGTATTATTAGGTCTTTGAAAATGAGCTATTTTGGTATATGTTTGGATTGAATGGAGAGGTATAAGTTCCTGTATCCTATTTTTGTATCATTTGTTAGAATGAATGAGCCATGAATTGGATTAGCTAGGAGTAAGAATAGACAGTGTTGACCAAACTTTTCTCCCTACCCCTTCAGCTTTGTGCCACATACAAATGTAATTATTTGTAAAATAACATGGCTTTTTTCATCCCAAATTTTCTAATTCCTTTTATTCAGAACATTACTTATGATCTTAAGTACATCACAGATTTGAAATGATAAACTTTTTGTGAGATACAAACACATATCACTTTTACTTCTGAGAAACCTGCAAAAACATACAATGGTTGATCCCACCCATTGAGTCATGTACATCTGACAACTTGGGTGAAGGCAAAATCCAAAGCAAAATTAGTAAGAGCTAATCCTTCATTGCAGATCTGTGTTGGTTGCTCACAGCCAAAGATTGATGCTCTGAATAAATTGCCTATACAAAGCTTCACTTTCATTATTATTTAATGGGAAGTAAAATCTTTAATTTTGAGTTAAAATTTAGAAGTGTTCTCATTTAAAATTAAAGACACTTTTATTCATAAAAAGGCACTTATTTTTTTGATAGATTTTAGAATTTAAAATATTTTTATACTGTTAATTTCCTAACAACAGCAAAAATTCTTCAGTTTATTAATTTTGTACATCATCATCCATAAATGAGCAAACTCCTACCACATATACTATCAAGTTGTAATGTTCCATTAGAAATAAAAAAAAATGGGTATTATTTATGAGCAAATTCTACAGTGTTGTAACTGTTGTCCAAAATACGAACATGTTGTCATCCCAAAATGAGTACACTCCTTTAAAAAAAAGTTTACTCTATGTAGTTAGCATATTTTTAAACCATTAGTTTTTTTTGTTAGTTTTCAATAATGGCTCCTCATGGAAAAGAATTCTTTTCCAGTTTGAAGGAATATATTTGTTTTTACAAACAGAACAATGACTATAAAAGAAAATTGCTACAAGGCAAAAAATACCATTGCTTAAATTTTGAAGAATCCCAAGTAAAAATATCAGAAGTGACTATGTTTATCAGAAAAACTAAAAATCCCAGATCTAGTCTTTTTATTAGGAAACTGGTTGATGAAAACCCAAGAAAATTAACTGCAGATGTTGTTAATGAGGTCAAAAAAAGTGTGTACCATGAAGATTCTTACTACAACAAACATAACCTGAATAAGACCAGCTTACCTTCCTGATGACTGCATATGAAACTGTTGCTGAAATTGAGACACAAAGAGATCCATTAATGTTTGCACAAAAGAATAAGGATAAAAATTCAATATTTTCAGATGCTATACTTTGGTCCAATAAAACAAAACTTAACCTATTTTGGTTTGAGGACATTCAACAAGTTTGATATTGTCAAGGCATACAAGGATAAGTGTTTGGTAACAACAATTATGTATTGTGAAAAGATTGTGGTCTGGGGCCGTAGGGACTTCTGTTCCATTGGTAAGCTGTATTTTATCAACAGAATCAAGAGTACTGAAATTATTTCACTATATTGAATAAAAACATGTTGCAGTCACTCAAACACTTGCGAAGCAGAGCTATATTTCCATATAAAAATGATCTGAAATCCAAAACAGTCAGCTGCTAAGGAGAAAAAAAAAAGTTTCTGACAATGTTTGTTTGTTTAAAACTTAACGACCCATCGATCAGCAAGAGATCATTTAAGAAGTTTCTGACAGAAGTAAAAATGCTTGATTGAACTAGCATGTCATTGGATTTAAATTATGGAAAGTATTGAGATGAGAAGTAAAACAAAAACCATCCAACAAATCAGATTTTAAAGAATGCATAATGTCAAAGTGGAAAAAATGCCTAGTGAAGACTACAAACTGTAATAGAAAAATGAAAGTAGTTACAGTAAAACTAGTGTGAATTTTACAAGGAAAATCTACAATTAATAGTCAGTTATAATGGTTAAACTTAGGTACTTCGATGAGATCACTAAGAAATGAGCAGAGCATGATGAAAAAGATGCCAAACTTGACAAAAACAAAATTTTATTATCAAAATGTTTATGTTACTATTAAGAGGAAAGAACAAAGTAATTTTAATTATTTTTAAAAATTTTTCCTTCTTTTTAGAACATTCTAACTTGATAAAAAATCTTTGTTTCTCTTTGTATCAGCAGAACTACTAAATAACATAAAATTTTAGTGTGTTTTTTTTTTTTTGTATGACAATAATTTGGAAAATCTTGCAAAAATAAAAATAATTGTTGAATTTTAATGGAACTTTCAGAAACTATTCACAAATGATGGAAATTATTATAAATATGTTTTCCTTTTTTAAAGTCATGGCAAAAATTTTTTTTTTATATTTATTACCCCCCACCCCCAACTAATTTTATGAAAACTCCTGAAATTCATTACAGTACAATTTAGTGATTATATTAGTTAAGAGCACAAGGCTTTGTGGAAAGCAAATTTTTTTTTTTTTTTAAAATCAAACCATCTCTACCTGAAAATCAGCTCTGAATTGTAACATAAAACAAAGATATTATTTAATTTCAAATGCTTTTAGTTGCTTTTATGAATATGGATAATACTGTCAGAAAGCAAAAACATTTTTCAATGAAAAATGAATTTTTAAAACAATTATTTCTTATTTTATTACTTTTACATTAAAGTTGTTAAATATTCTAAAATTAGTGAAAATGGTGTACAGTTTAGCTAATTAAGTAGATCTATCTTTACAGATTATAAATTGTAAAGCTTATTACAATCAATGGACCACCAATGTATTAAAAATCCAATTTTTTGCATGGCTTTTGTGTCCATAAAACGGCTATAATTCAAAAAGTAGATAAGACTGTACATGAGAATAATAAAATGTCTCATTAAGCATTGTTTCCTTCTGTTACAGACTTTATTTTTGTGAATTGTTTGTCCGAAACACACATGGAGAAGTTGATTTGATTTTTCAATTTCAACTGAGAATGGAACCTACAAGTATTAGGTACCTATCTTATGAAATTTATATGATCTTATTTTTATATTATCTCAGTTATGACATTTTTCCATAAATGAAATATCAAAATTAACAATATAATGAATGGAAATACAAATAACACAGTAAAATGTAATAAATGTACATAAATTATAGTATTTTATATACACTTCTGATAAAATTTCATAAGAAAGGTACCTATAAATTAATTAGATACCTGTCTAATGAAATTTTATCACACTCAACAGTCTTATTTTAATTTTTTTTTATAATATAATTTTCCATAAAGCATTTAAATGTAAAGGTGAAAGCTAAGTACAAAAAGGAAAAAAAAATAGTGTGGAAGGTTTTCCTTAAAAATAAAGTAAATAATTGGTTCACTTAAATCTAAATAATTATGTTATTTCTGTCCTTCCGTATGATAACTTTCCCTCATGTAAGCTGTCAATATGTGATAAAATTATCACTCATCACCTGTCAAGTGACACCAAATGTTAAGACCTGCTTTGTCTTATTTTTAAACTTCATTTTATCGGTGCAGAAAGTAATGCTTGTTTCAAAATATTTTAAATAAACTCTATAATTTCTAATTTTCTTAAAATAAATTTTTTAAAAATTAAATTAATTTTTAAAAGAATTTTTCATTTTTTTTTTATATATATATATAAAATGGAAAAAATGGTTGACATGATCGATTTTCTGTCAATTTTGCTCACTCAAAAAAAAAAAAAAATACCCCAAAAATACTTTGATTTTTCCTCTTGATAATAACAAACATAGACAGTAAAAAAAATTTTTTTCAAGTTCAAGACCCTCTTTCATCATGTTTATGCTCTTTTTTAGAAAATTTTAGCAAAACTAGTTAAAGTTTAAACTTATGAATTTAATGTAAAAAGCTTTAATGAAAATAACCAGCAATTATTACAACGTAAGAAGTTTTAATGAACTAATTTTACAGGTGACCATTAGTAGAGTTTTTTCGGTTTCATCTTCACACCGTGAATCCGCATCAAAGTTTTTTATGAAACCGAAATCGTTCATTTTTTTTAAGTGCTATCTATCATGAGTGACCATATCCAAAGAAACACTATTGAAAAAGACTTTCAGGTGTTAATAAAATTAAATTTTATCAACATTTATACCGTTGTAAGAGAAAAAGATTGAACAAAAATATGTTAAAAACATTTAATTGAAAAGTTTTAGGAACTAAATATGAAATCTATTTGTTTACAAAAGAAATGAAGAAAAAAAAGGAAATACAACAGATATGATGCTTGGAAATCATGTTTTCAAACAGAAAAAAGGAAATACGACGATGTCTGAAATCTATTAATTTCAGTTCTCAAAAAAAACAAACTTTTTGTGGTAAAATTAAGTTAACAACAAAATAGCAAGTAAAAATTAAAAAAAACAGTTGTCATTTCGTCTTAATAAACTTTATGAAGTCAGATTTTTTTCTAAGTGTCGTAGGTAATTTTTTCTAGGGTAAATTTTCATTTTAACACCCGAGCGTCATTTACTGCTGAACTATTTGCTTTCAGAAATTAGTACGCATTTCCGTAAAGCGATTTTTTTTTTTGTACTTAATGAAAGAATAAAGTTAACATATGTAAACAATTCATCGACAAATAAAAGAATAACAAAAGAAAAAAAAACACCTAACCCTAATTTGAAAGTTAACTTTCTTCTTTAAAAAAAAAAAAAAAAAAAAGAATAACCAAAAAAAAACACCTAACCCTAATTTGAAAGTTAACTACAAGGAATTACTGTGAAGGGAGTAAATAGGTCCAAATTGTATACATCCCCCCGACATAATTCAGCACTTAATTACTTATCAATAAGCTGGTAAAGGATGACAAAAAGAGCAAGAAGTTTGATGTTTTTCTGGTCGTTAACATCCAAAAAGGTAGGTTTCTTTAATATCTAATTGTTGATTTGAGTTCAGCATATACATTTGCACGGAAATAAGACTATTTGGGAAAAATTTGAAGGGATAATAGCACTCGGGTTTTGAAAAGAAAATTTACCTTTTCTAGTAAGTCAGTGTATGCCAATCACAAAATAAAGTTGTAAACAAGAAAAATGAATGAAGACCTTTTTTTTATGAATAAATTTGTTTTTTTTATCTAGGGAATGCACCTAAGAATAATTAAAATAGTTCTTAATTTCACTTTTAAAATGTTTATTTCCAGATATGCGCATCTCTAGTGTAAAAATTGTTTGTTTTCTACAAATAAAATTATGTTTAGTTTCTATCTAGCGAATAATACACCTAAAATTTAGATATTAAAAAAAATAAAGTATGTTTTAATCTTAGTTTTAAAATGTGTATATTTTCAAAACTGCAAGTCATTTTTTTAAACCCAAAGTAAAAGTTATTCTTTTTTAGCCATTAGTGTTCAGTGAGTGTTTGTTACTGTTCTACCTAAAGTTTTTCTAAACAAGGAAAATTAATTCATTTCATTTTTACAAATATCTTTAGGTTTTATCTGGTGAATACACTTACGTTAAGATTATAAAATGATTAAAATAGTTTTTAATTTTAGTTTTAAAATGTGTATCTAAAAATAAAAAAAGAATAGGTGATACTTGCAGATTTGGAAATCTATACATTCTAAAAATGAAATTAAAAGCTTTTAATTATTTTTAATATTTAATTTTAGGTGTCTAAAGACACAAATATAGATATTTTATAACTTTATGCAACGATTTCTTTTGTATTTTACTAATTTGTTAATAAATGTGTTATTTATAGTTGATAGTTTATTTGAAAGTTTAATAATCTTTAATCTAAGTCATGAATTCTATGACTAAATTAGCTTAAAAGCCTAAAAACTGACTTTAGGTGAACAATCCCTACTTTATTACCCACTCCGATTCACGGTTTTTCAACTCCATGTCTATAAATTTTTATTACTTTGGCTTAAAACCCCTTACACACCCATTAACAGGCTTCCACAATGACAGTCAGTTATGTGCCATGTGTGATAACCGCGTATGCGATCATGTATCTTACAATACATGACTGCAGTAAGTTGCCATTTCTTTCTGCGGTAGACCAGTTGCCATCTAAGGCTATAGAACCCAGTCCTGCTATTGAGGGGAGAAGAGGATTCATACTTTTTCCAAAGGATATTAGCACATAAGTGAATGTAATAGATTTGACTGGAATTCTAACTCAGCTCTCCAGTCCCTCAAACTGAGCCACTATCGATTACTTCATCGTACCTCCTATACACATGACAGACATTTCAAAAAA